TAGATGGCTTATTATAACACGGAGCCAGGGGCGGACTTGCCGTTGAATACGCTCGCTTGATTGGACTCGGATTTTTTCGAGAGATAAGCCGTTTCGGCTCGATTTATCAAAGATGGGAATCTTCGATGCTTTAGTCAATTTGGAAGTTATAGCCGAGAAGAGAGTAATAGCTTTTTTGATGTGGTTGCCTTAAGACTAGAATCTACTCAAAATAAATTAGGATGGTACCTATCATGAACGTGCAGGTTTAAAAATATACTGTTTTTGTTAAACTTTCGGAGCAGGCTAAGGAGTAAACAATTTAGAGCATCAGAACTTACTTCTCAATATTTCTAAATAACACCATACCGGGTGGTTTTTATTTTTAAAGATACAAAAATGAAATCGAGTAAGTAGATATATCACATAAATATGCTATGTGTGACGTATTCACTGGTGTACTTTTAGTTCCAGCTTAGCCGGAAATGACTTTAACTTTGTTAGTTTAAAAGGGACACCAGGTATACAGGGTGTCCGCAAAGTTCGGGTTTTCCTTTACACGACGTGTAGATCTTGAAAACATAAGCAATTTTTCTTAGTACCATATACACCAATGTCTTAAGGGAACCGAGATAAAGGGCTCTGCAACATCAAAAATATCTGAATACCGTCCTGTAGCCGCGACCCGCGACATCACCGAGTGGTACAAGGTCACTGGCTCAACCCGACGACAGAACTGGGTCGGGGTCAGTGTGTCAGGTCAGTATGCAACCTTCAACTGACGGTTACGGTCACGCGTGTAGAGGTAATCGTGTAGACGAGAATCCCTCATCAAGCACTAGAGACGTGACTAGAGAAGTGCAAGTACCAAAAACTAAAGTGTGGCAAACGCTCCGTTTCACGTCCAACGTGTACAAGCCCTTCAACCTGACGATTTTCTAGCAAGAGTGCGGTTTTGTGAGTGGTTGTTGCATCAACATGACAATAATCCGGACTTTTTGAAGTGCATATTGGTGACAGACGAATCTACGTTCACGCGTAATGGGGTGAATAACTTTCGCAACACTCATGTTTGGTCAGTAGAAAATCCGCACGCTGTCCGTCGTGCACATTTTCAACAAACATTTTCGGTGAATGTTTGGGCTGGCATGGTGAACGGTATGCTCATTGGACCATTTATTCTCCCAAATCGATTGGACGGGATGCAATACCTAGACTTTTTACGCAACATTTTGCTTTCCTTGTTATAAGATGTGCCATTAAGTGTAAGACAATCAATGTGGTTTCTGCACGATGGTGCACCGCCCCATTTTAGACGCGAAGTGCGTGAGTTTTTGAATGAATTATTTCCGAATAGGTGGATCGGACGCAATGGACCCGTAGCGTGGCCTCCGCGATCTCCAGACTTAACACCATGTGATTTTTTTCTTTGAGGAGAAATGAAACGCTTAGTGTACAAAACTGAAGTGCATACGGTTGACGAACTTCGTCTCAGAATTGAACAAGCTGGTGCTTTCATTCGAGGGAGGGACTCCATTCTCAAAGCCTGCACCGATGCTTGGCTACATGGTGCACGCACCTGTGTTTTTGAATCAAACGGCGATAACTTCGAACAATACCTATAAAGTACGTTTACCTAAAAACTGAAAACGCGGCAACGCCGTCATATTTGTTACCTCTGTTCGTGGTCTGCACCACCGCCGGCGTCTGCTCGGTAGCGCATCAGCTGATTTCATTTTTTGTTGGAGCGGTATGATTTCGGGCAGATACGTACTCAGCCGTTCTCGTCAACTGAGTACTTTTTCCTTTATTTTTTTTTTTACTTGGTCGCCATCGTTTCACTACTCATTACCTTTGTTATTTCAGGGGCAGTTGTTTCTGAAAAGGAAAACCCCAACTTTGCGGACACCCTGTATTTTTGCTTATTTGAATAGAAAATGACAATCCGAGTACAATGACGCCGCATTTGCTACGTTTTGACATATGACTTCCAAATATTTGTATTTTTTTATTTTCAATCCAGCGTGCTATGAATATGATAAAATGGCAAATTTTGGACTAAGCAGTCACTGAAAAATTGATTTGACTGTCTTTTGTTGCTCATAGCCTCTTCAGACTTGTTCAAAGAAAAAAAGATTATTTTGATACCACGCAATCGATATTTTAGTTAAAAACATTGCAGAAAAATCTACATTAATTATCTTATTATTCATTTTGCCATAACAGCATCGACCAGCCATAGCCAGCATTGACAGCGTTGACAGAGAACTTAGGTGGCTTAGAAAAAACAATGATCGGTTGTTGCCATGAATCTTTCAGATTCTCAAATAGATCATTAAGAAATCAACATATTATTACTTTACCTTTTGCCTGTTTTTCTTAGTTTATTAATGAACCATATGTACAAGAAGAAAATAAGTTGATATGCTTCTTATTTTCGGAGAATGCAGACAAAATGCCGTACAAGCTGCTAGAATTTATGCATAAAGATTCCCCGAGAGCCGACATCCAACACGGCATTGCTTCCCAACATTGGTTTAAAAAACCGCAAAATGAGACGGATGAGCTTCCTTGAACTAGAAAAATTGCTGCCGAGTGTCAAATGTCATAAAATTCCGTGTGGAGAAATTTACGTAAGCATAAAAGCCGGTCATACAAGTATCAATTTCACCAGCATCTTTACTAAGCTGATTATGAACGGAGGTTTGAATATTGCAACTGGTTTTTACACAAATACCAAGAGTCGCTTTACAAATTTAGTCGTTTTCAACAGAATAAAGAATTTGCACTAAATGGAAAAAATATTTTTTTAAGAACGTTTTGGTTTTAATTGTCGGATGGGAATTCTAGGAGACAGGATTCTAGGCCCCATAATTTTTGAAGGGCATTTGACAGGTGAAATTGAAAATTTCTTCTTTCTTGATAATCACAAGATGGCGCTCCGCCCCACAACAGGCGGGTGATATCGGCCCATTCAAATAATACCCACGGGGAAAGCTGGATTAGAAATAATGGACCAGTTAGATGGCCTCCAATGTATGTAGAACTTATTATTAAAAATCTTTATCGAAATTAATTTGTTTATTTAAACATTTATGTCACCCGATATAACTCCCTGAATTTTGATGTACGGTGAACAATCAAAATGAGGTCCAGAATACACAGTCAGCGACATGAAACGAGTTGGAAAACAAAGCAAGGGCGACCCTTAGTCTTCAAAATGTAATTCGCAAAACAAATGAGATATATGAACTTTGCCTACAACAATAAGGTGCTGATTTTGAACATTTGATAAATCAAAACGTATTTATTGGGTAGAATAATTAAAATATATTTCAGTAATTCTTGATTATACAATTTAGTCAGTTAGCAGTACGTTATTTTGCTGATGATTGGACGTTTTGGATATTTATTACGTTAATAATAATATTGTTTTATTAACAACAACTATTTACGAAAAAAATCCTTTGTAGCTGTGCTAATGAGCCACCTTTTTGCGTTTGACAAAAAATGAGGTAACGCCACAGATAAACTAACGAAAAAATGCTATCATTTTATGGTATTCATGGCACATTGAATTAAAGATTACAAATATTTGGAAGTTTGATGACAAAAGGTAGCAAATGCAGCGTCATTGTACTAGGAATGTCGTTTTCTATTCAAATAAGCAAAAATATACCGGGTGTCCCATTTAAAATAACAAAGTTAAAGTCAATTCCGGCTAAACCGGAAGTGAGAGTAAACAATTGACACCAAACTGTGCATATTTATGTGATATACATATATCTGTTTTGTATTGCATATTATCTTCGAAGTTGAGTCATTTATTTTAACAGTGAGTAGATCTGATCAAAAGAAATGTTTTTTTCTTTTACCATTTTTCTGGTAAAATTAAAGTAACAAAGTTATAGCCCTTTGGAAGTTTGAGTACCGCCCTGTCTCAATCACAATATCATGTGCTCGTGTTTGGCAACAACGGATATAATCCACCTTATCGGTTCATCGCATCGGAAACAAAAAAGCGAAAGAATTTGGAACGATGTTTTTACAATTTTTCATTCAGTTCAGTTATACATACAGTCAGTGTCAGTCGCGTGTGATTAGTGTCTGTTGCGTGGCTCAAACGAAATAAAAAATGGCACATGTTTATGCGGATCGGTTTCCCAATCGAGTGCAACCAACTCCTCGTGCCTTTGTTAATGTAGTACAACGGGCTCGTGAATCAGGTGACTTAAGACCTCACAGGGGACCTCACGATCAAATACAGGTCCGCACTGAAATACTTGTCGGGAGGATACTTTATAAAACTAGGTAAAAATTTTTTTTTATTTTTACACACATATTTTGGTTTATCTTCCTTCTACAATCGTTATCTGAAAATTAATGACTCAACTTCAAAGTCACCCTGTATATATATATATTTTGTATGAGTGTTATTTTTTTGTGGGTTTGGTTGAAATGCAGCTTAGGCTGAACTACGACTTTCATCATTTTATCTTTAATTTTTTCTTTATCCTCAAGTTATTTATAATGATGAATAAAGACCATTTATTATTATTATTATTATTATTATTATTATTATATACATACCTAATTCCATTTTTGTATCTTTAAAAATAAATAACTGCTTTTTCATGCAGAATATTAATCTGACAGATGCTTCAAATATATTAACCCTGGAGCCTTAGGTCTCCTATAAAAAACCTTAAAAATATCTGGATCTCAGGAACTAAACAATGAAACTCATTCAAATTTCGCACAAACATGTGTAGATGCAGAAGTTTTATCATAAAAATTTCAAGCATTTCTATTAATTCTGACCGAATACAAGAAATGCCTTAAATTCCTTATATTTGTTAGCGCTGCACTGGTGACATTAACAAAGAGAATTCCTCGCACAAAAAAATCAGCGGATTGTAAGGATGTTGTGTCAGAAGCAAACTTTAATTATCGTCCGTGAGTTCTGATACACAATTTACCAAACGACGTACAAAATTCGGTTCGTATAATAAAAAGCTTACCTGTAAAAGAAGTGAAATAACCACGATCCCCTGAGCTTTGTGCAACGCCTCAGAAAAGTTCGAATAGAGTTGGGAATTGAAGCCGAAAATCTGGATCTGAAACAAAAATAAAAACATTTCGCTTTATTTTCAGCTGGACGCCAGATGTTTATGGAACAAGGATTACACTTCGAGAGCAACAGAAAAATTATGTACCATGGGTAAGTAGTACAGATAGCATTTGAGGATCGATGCATTTCTTCATAAAGACGCAGTTGTGAAAAGAAAGGATAAAAACCAAAGCACCATAAGGGCTAACGCTATACTGGAGAATCTTTTGACAGATACATATATTTGGAAGCACCGTCTCAGAATTAGTCCTGTGCCCTTCTCCCTTAGCCATTGGTTAATTATTGGCATACTGCAAGTTTGCAGTTTAACAAACCATTAAACATTTTCCTAAAAATACTTGCTTATTGACAATCTGGGTTAAAATAAATATACACAAAAGATGTCTTGTATATATTTAGTGCGTAGATTGTGAACCTGATGTTAGTTCCATGCTAAGATCGATAGGTGACTCAAAAAGACTCATTGACCCATTTGAAATCACAAATGGGCCTGCACTACACTTTATAATTTTTTTAAAACCAGTTTAGTTAGTTTTAATTACAGGTGACGAAAGCCAGCATATTACGTACTGAAACTTTCAATTTTAAAGGAATTATATTGAAGGTTTATACAGGTCCTTGCGTATTTCCAATCTAGATAAAAACTCGTCTCTTCAGCTATTGTGCTTAGATAGAAAATCTGAAGTTGGTCGCTTATTAAGATTGACGAAGCAGCAACGTAGGCAGGAGACTAAATACCAAGGCACCGTGGCTGCTATGAAGCTTAAAAAAACCTTGTTTATCATATTTTTGAACTGGGAAAATGCTCCTCGGGTGGATTGTTCCACTATCTCAGTGCCGTAGGGAAAAAGGAGCGGTCATATCGGCAAGTTCCGGATGTACGAAGTTCGATACGGTTGAGATGAGAGGCTAAAGCCAGGCGGGTCTGTCTAGCAGGCACATCGCGCGGTACTGTTATGGAGGAGAGCTCTGAGGAACAAAGCCTGTTGACATAGCGTAAACACGAGGTCTTATGATAGATGCCATAAATGTGCCTATTGTTGGTGACTTCTGGCTGTCCTACTTTTTCCATCCTTGTTTTCTATGCACATCCATTTGGACCTGATGAAGCCAGTAAGCTGAAACGTACGTCACTCGGGTTACCACTCCTTCTATTTCTGCTCCTGTTCCTCTATTGAGGACATGTCCACGACTGTCCTTTTCTAAATACATTGATATTTAGAGCATGATTCGTGCATGCCAATGAACCAAATTTATTATTCTTATATCAAGCGCTTTGAAATATATCCTTTTTTTATAGTGCTGAATATTTTTTGATAAAATGATGAATTCCCTAGGTTGAAAAAAAACCGCTATGATTTGGAGAAATTAGCAGTAAATCTCATGTGATTTTTTTCATTACAAATATGAGAAGACTTGAGGAGATCTGAAAAATACAGATTTACTTTTAATAATAGGGACCCAAGGGAGCACTAAATCCTATAGGATCTTATAAAAAGTCAGTCGTTCAAACTTTGGAAGGTTTAAATTAAAGCTAGAAGTAGATGATGCTAGTTGAAGTGGCGGTCATATTTAAGGTTATAAACAGTTTACCTTTCTTTCAAATATGTCAAAGTCATGGATGGTCTAGATAGCTCTCGAACACGCATCACGCAATGATTTGTTAGTTTGACATCCAACCACACTAGCGCCACCTAGCAGGAGAGAAATCGACCAAAATAACGGTTACGGTCAGATACAGTTAGTCGCTAATACTGAATATGCTGGAATTTAGCACACCTTGTTGCGTAAGTTCTGCTAATCAATATGAGGGTTTTCACATTCTCAAAGTGGTCCATTCAGATGATATCTATACTGAATCCAAATTCACGATGAGATGTAAATAATAACAGTTAGCGCGTAATCTCTCGGTAACAGGTGGGGACAACGCCTCTTATTGGTCAATTCGCCATTAAATTTCAAGCGGTCGCCTGGCGGAATAATGCGCGTTGCAGGGGCAGGGCAGGCAGAGTTGCATTCAGGCCACCGAAGTTTCTGTTTGTTATTGTTATTCCTCGTTATTATTTGTTTTGAAACAATCCTGAACATGTACAGTACAGATACTGCTGACGAGGCTGTAGGCTACTCCCTTAGCCCTCCTAGAAAGCGATAAAAAAAGACGTCTTAGCGTAGACATGAAAGACGTCATATTGAATACATTCAAGATAGAGCGGAAGGAAGACGAAACATCAGCTTACCCGAAAATAGCTCTGAAAGTGGCAGATAAAATTGGGGTATGTCAAGCTACAGGGTACAACGTTTTGAACGAGCATAAGAAAGCATGCCTTTTCCAAGCCAATGACGGGAAAAATTAACAAACGTATCATAAGATCGTTGGATGACGCTGACAAGCATGCGATTCGGAGGAAAGTGCACGAGTTCTTCTTCAGAAACGAAATACCGACAGTTGATAAAGTACTACGTGAGGTTAACGAGGATGCTATGTTACCAAATTTCAAACGTTCGACTATTCATTAACTTTTGAAGCATCTTAATTTCGAATGGAAGAAACGAGGTCGTAACAGCTTACTTATGGATAGAGAAGAAATTGTTCTGTGAAGGAGAGAGTACCTGACCAAAATTAAATCAGTCAGGGATCAGCACAGGAAGATCTATTACCTGGACGAAACCTGGATTAACGCTGGGCACACTACTCCGAAGGTATGGGTTGACAAAACTGTGTCTTCATCCAGAAGGGCATTTCTAGATGTCGACCGGATTGAAAAATCCAGCAGGTAAATAGATCGAAGTAGTTCACGGTATCAATTTTTGCGCACAATATCTCTGTATCTTCGTACCTACAAGACGTGCATGTGTAAATAGCAGATTTTATCTTTCTAGGCAAAGGAGAAACGCTCATTATTTGCCACATTGGGGATGTAGATGGCTTTGTGGATGACGGCTTATGGTCTTTTAAGTCATAAAAACCACTGACTACCATGAAGAGATGAATGGGGAAGCATTCGAGAAGTGGTTTTCAGGCATTTTACCACGTCTCGAAGACAATTCTGTGGTTGGTTTGGATAATGCTCCCTACCATTCTCGCAAAATAGAAAAAATCCTAACTTCAGCTTCTAGGAAATCAGACATTCAGAGCTAGCTCCGTTCCAAAAATATAACTTTCGACCCTTCCTTACTGAAATTACAACTATTAGATATTGTGAAACAACACAGACCAAGACATGATAAATATGTCATAGATGAAATGGCCAAAGCACACCACAAAACAGTACTCCGTTTGCCGCCTTACCACTGTGAGCTCAACCCCATTGAGCTCATATGGGCAGATGTTGAGAATTTTGTTGCTGCACACAATACAACATTTAAATTTTTTGACATGCAAGAGCTGTTCAGAATTGCTATACAGAGGGTCACACCAGAAAGATGGCAAAAAATGTGTGCAGCATGTTCAGCAGAAAGTGGAGGTAGCAATGTGGGAGCTGGACAACATAATTGAGAGAGATTTTGAATCCATCATCATAAACATTAATGACGATAGCTCTTCAAGTGAGTCTGAGTAAAATTCGCGTTTTTGTTTTGTCACAGAATACATATTATGGCAATCCTAGTTATAGTGAAATATTAACTTACAGATAAACTACAGACAATGCAAGTCCGAAGTGCACCTTCAAAATCTATTTTCAATTGATTGAACAGCCTTATATTTATTCCATGTACAAAAGTGTCATCTCTACCCCTCGTTGACTACGGATTCATTGTGCATAGTGAGCAGCTGGTTACCTCTGGTACATCTTTCTCCATGTTGTCTAGTATGAAAAATCTGTAGAAAAAATTAGCACTCCTTCAAGAATAAAAATTTGATTTTGCGACACCCTTAACTATAACTACTTCACTATATTAGATAATTTCGTTAAATACTGTCATCTTTGTTTTACAACACGTTGGTGGTAGTCCATCATTCGGAGGTAGCCCTGAATGCGGCCCTGTACGCCGTCCTTGCTTTTGGCAATCACGCATCTTGGGTGTAAATACACTATAGCAGTCTAGGCCAAGTCGTACTTTACACATTGCTTGCTCATAGCAGATGGGTGCAACTGAACTTGGCCAATGTTTGCCCACATATAGTTGTAGTCACCGTTCGTGGAGGTTGGGTCATCAACGCCATATGAAATAAGTAAACAGATCGAGTCTCCGTACCACGGGCAGATAATAATTTTCCTAACTGAGAGAATCCGATTATTTAAATTTATTTATCGTAATTCTCAAAAATGTTCTAATCTAGTACATAAGCATGGGTAGAGTATGACACGCCATTTGATGTTTTTTAAAGTTGAAATAAAAAATACATACGGAATTAACATATAATACAACTTGATGAAACACCTAACACTGTTTGTGGATATTTGACAAGCTTATGAGAGCTTTAGCAGAACTGTCTTCAATAATAAAATTGCTCAAATCTTCTTGGAGTGAAATGTGACTAAATAATTTACTGCAAAAAAGTAAATTTTGATGATGATGCTCTTAAACTCGAGCTTTTAAATCTATGTCGCCCTAATGAACATCAAGTTTGTAACTTCCATATCTATCCAAATATTCAACAATGTACATTGAGGTGCACAGATAAAAAATTAAGAATTATAAATTTTCAAAATTGTTTCAATAATATTATGAATTATTGGATGTCTTCATCAGAGTCATCTGAACTTTCTCCCAAGTGAATGATTATATCAGTCTCCTCCCACCTGATGCTTGTCCCAGTTTTAAGTCAAGTCCTCGGCATGTTTAACACACTTGGCCCAAACTTCCTTGTCACCATAGCCATTTTCCCCAATATGAGGATCATAGTACTGCTTGGCTATTTCTCAGACTAACCCAAGAGTGTGGTATTGACAATGGTAAGGGGGGAGCCGCAAAAGTTGATGTACATGTTCATATAATATTTCGTCGATGCTATATGTTGGAGCCGTTGGTTTTTGGAGGCGACATAGATTTAAAAGCTCCAGTTTAAAAGCGTCATCATCAAAATGTATCTTTTTGTCTTACAGCCATTGCTTCAATTGCATTTTACTTCAATTGGAATTGGGCATTGTTAAGGCACTATGATAAGATGCATTATCCCTGATTACTAAAGATGGCTCTTGTAGCGCGGGTATCAGTTTCTCACATACCCATTTTTTTAAAGAATATTTGTCCATGGAATCGTGGTAGTCAGCACTTTTTGATTTTGTAGCAAATAACAATCAGTATCTCAACAAAGACCGTTTTTGATCCCAGCATGGAGAACAACATACCGCTTGCCGGTACCCTGACGGCCGCTTTTCAAACTCTCTACGTTTTTATCTTGCCAAACTCGCTTAAACGACCCTTTGGC